CGCTTCTTCAGGCGGGGCGGCTCGCACTATTTTCTTGGTTCCTAGTAGGAACAAAGACCCAAGACCACTCGAAAGGCTTTGATCTCTCCCTCCTGATTCTTATGCTCGAGAACAGAAGGCTTAGCCAGCAGCTTCGACCAATCGGTTGAACCTTCTCCTTTCTTCTCTAACACTTTCTGGACTGCGTTTGCCTCTTCAGCTGCTGCTTGTGTTGACTTGGTCACATTCTCTAAAACTTCTTTCAACTCCTCCATTCTCTTTCTTTCTTCTCAACTTCTCCTAGATTATGCCCTTGTAACAAGGTACACCTAGGTCCAGTGATTGTTGTATTAGGTTCTTCTTTTGTACTCCTTCCTTTGTCCTTTGCCAATGTTCAACCCCACTGCTCAATGCACGCAACGCGACCAATGCGGACCAATGCACAACTCGACCAACGTACAATGCTTCCACAATGCACTGTTGCTCAATGTAATGTTCAATGTACGGTGTCAACCAATGTTGTGGAACACTCAATGCTCAACCAACTCTATGGCAGCCCGTGGACACCCGGTAGGAAAACATGGTTTTGGTGTCTCGTAGCTCCCCAAGGAGTAGCCTGGATCACAGCAGCGCTACCATGCGCACTCTTTTTGGACAGTGCTTCGGTAAACTGTACGCACAAATTATTCTTGAGAGGTCTTGGGCTGGCAGAGTGGGATTCCCAACGAGTCTGTCTAGATTGTTTTTGGAGGGCCCCCAAGGAGCTTGTGCACATTGTTTCTGTTGATTTTAGCCTGGTTGCTGTAAGATGCTGTAAGTGTTTGGCTGATTTATTTAAAATGCTTGGAACAAATGGCACTGCCAGGGCCTCCCGTTCATTTGTTCGTGGTTCTATGCACGGACCGCGCAGTGCACACGTTCGCACACGCTCGCAGCATCGGGCCGCACAGCCACACAGCCAGCCACACAGTCTTGGATTTCTACAGCCTTTGATGTGGTTCACGGATTCCACTACACCTGTCAAATCAAGGATTAGTTTTTCTAAACTTTTTAAACATCCTGAAGTGGGAGAACCCGACTGTATGACTTTCTGGGCAAGACATAGCAAAAGCCTGGACCACACCTTGTCTACTTTTCGCTGTGTTTTATGGAGCTGGAAACTGCGTGCCAGGATACTTCCGCTCAGTTCGCCAAGAGATAAAAGATCTCGAGGAGACATGGCCTGAACCATCAAGCTTCGATCAGGTTTCTCCAGCCATGTTCCAGTCATAGCTTGCGAGACCACATCACAAATGATTCAAACGATCGAAAAAGACAGCAACTCCAAGATCATTCATATAGGAATTGGCTCAAGGATTGAAAGCGAGTCAGGACCGAAATGTGTTAAACGCACAAGCTTGGGTTTGTACGATGTTATCATGTTTTCCGCTCAGGAGGAACAGAGGCTGGACCATTTGAAGAGTGAAGTGAATCAGCTGACTGCCATCGAAAAGAAAGAACGCGCAAAGGCCAGTGATCGCATCATCTTCGTTATGTTCAATTTTGCAGGTCAGTGTTCAAGAAAGCGAGTTCCCCAAGTCAACATGGGGAAAAAACAAACTTGAAACACGATGTTTATAATGCCAATTGGTTCGGGCGAGACACATCTGTGTACCGTAGTTTGCCATGACCCGTCATATTGCAAACATGATCCCAGAAATCCATTGGCGGGTTCAGGTCCAGACCAAAACCTTTGGGTCAAAGTCTCAGAGTTCATTGCTAGATTCAGACCCTTCAGAGGTTATATAGTTTCACCAGGATGTTCTTTGCTAATTATTTTACGAAAGGGAATGTCTAATTGATTCTAATTGTGGTGGGTGCCGAATTCGACTTGAATGGACCGTTCTTCCTAAAAGTATGCTTGTTCTTTGTGTGTTCCACTTCGAAGTCACCACATGTAAGACATGCGACAATCTGATGCGGATACAATTTGTTTGATTGCAAGCCTCTATAGGGTCCAATACATACTCCAGAATTGACCCTTCGACCTACAGCTGGGTTTGGAGGGGGGATTGGTTTCTCACTCCAAAATTTGTATTTGTTTGTATTTGTAGGTGTTTCCAATGTTTCCACTATACAGAATTGGCCAACTTCGGACCCTACCCACAGCGCGAGGACGTGAAGGCTCAGCTGAAAGCCATGGAGCAGACCACTGGGCCTTGCGCGGCCATCATGGGCCTTGCGCGCCAAGCTGTCGGCACTGCCGGCCAAAGGCTGAGGCGCCAGGCCAGCTTCCTTTAGCGAGCGTTCCGGTGGTGACCACCCGCGGGGCCCGTACTGGGACATCCAGAGACGAGTTCTTTGCAATAAAAGACGAAGAAAGACCAGTTGAAGTGTAAACGAATACGTATTCCACGCCCTTGGACGTGAGGGTGGTGAACAGCTTTGTGAGAGATGGAAGCAAACGAAGTTTGGAGAGATGAGGCTCCACACGTGAGGGTGGTCCCACTAGCGGGTCTATCAGGTGGAGCAGCTGTATGCAGCTGTTGGTTGTTCCTTGGTGTAAATACTACCCAAAGAACAACTGGCCCACTGCCAATGCGTTCCAAGAAAAGTGCGTTTCGGCGCAGCTGACATTGCCGGTTTTGGAAGTCTTGCGGTAGCTAGTTGCAACATGGAGGTCCATGTGCCTCAAGAGTTGTAATATGTTGTAATATCTCTCCGGTGGAGCATCTCGAAAGTGGTAACAAGGTGTTTGTACTGTACCATCTACTGGACCGTGCGGTTTCTCAACTTGCCAGTCATCAACTGTTAAACGGATGCGCTTATTGGTCATTCTCTTAATTTAGACTCTTTAGATCTCCCAGGACTGGGTCTTTCATGAACGTCGATCTCTTCAAAATGCTTCCAAGCTCATCGCCAGCCTTGGGAACTCAGAAACGACGCCGAGACTGCGCCAACTCACCGAACCAAGTCACCACCGAACTCCGCGGCGACAATCCGTTCCTCCCAGGCATGGAGGGCCCGCTGACGACGGACAACACTGGCTTCTCCGCCGCCAAGCTGGCGAGGGACGCCGACCCGACCGGGCGGATTTCCGGTTTGGGGTTCGGTTTCGGGTGGAGAAGAATGGAATGGATCAGGTGAACATGAATGGTTTTGATCTATTTGTTTGTTTAAATGGACGAAGAGGGGCCATGGAACTGCGGAACCAACTTGATGATCGTAAGGTGGAAGACAGGATGTTGCTGGTGAAAGGGTGAAGAGCAGCTTCAAACATGTTGAAACCGGTAACAAGGACGCTACGAACGGGGCTCCTGGTCTTACTATGAACGTAACAAGAAGCTACGCACGTAACAAAGGGCATCGCTACTAGCCGGTGGGCGTGGAGAGCCAGCGAGACTCGTCGAATTAGAAGTGGCTGCGAAGCGCGGGTTCGGGTCACTTCGGGTTCGAGTGCGCTGCAGTTCCCATCCGCCACAACTCTCTCGCCGTTTGTGCAGTTTTCTCGTTGGTCCACAGAGAGTGTCCGCCAAATGGATTGCAAGGGAGGGCTGAAAGAAGATTTGAATTGGGCATGCGGATGAAAAGTCATGAGCTGGGACTCTTCCCCCCCAAATGGATTCCTGTTCCTCAGGACAAGCACAGAAACTCACGTGAGGGGTTGCTTGGACGAGATGTTCAGTCGAATGCCAAGACCGGTTAACAACAAGCCGTCCAGAGAAGGTTGGAGAGGCCTGCCCCTACTTAGACCTTCGGAGACCGTTAAGAGGGAAGAGGGGTGCCGTTTGTGAGCTTCTCAATCCATTCTTATACTTATTCGTCGCAAAATAATACTTCTGAAGTGCATTGAAGTGCCATAAAAATATCACAAGCAACGTGTCACAGCGTTGGTGTTCCAAATGGGGCGTTGGGTGATGTTGGACGTTTTGGGTGATGTGTTCTCCAAATGAGAAAACACCCGACCAGTTGGTCTGCAAGGCCCTTCCTCCCAGTGTGAGTTTGATGCAGGCGCATGACTTGGAGCAGTTGGAGTTTGTGGCTGCCACTGATGAAGGCGTTCAGATGATGTGCTCAATTGAACATGGCTAACTAGCAGCTATAATTTTTGAATCTAGCGCAATCTGTTGATACAACTGCATTTCCGTCCCACAAAAGGCCGCGAGACGCCCTAAAGGCACGAGCGGCTTGAGCCGTGTTACATGCTTTATGCAATTCCACGTGGACACCTGCAACATTGCTGATCCTTTGACGTCACAAATCTGAAGGTGAGACGAAGGAATGGTGAAGAGCAGTGCAGCCTCGAACCATTTTTCGTCCAGAGGACGTTGGAGCAACGGCGACCACAAGAGCAGTACCCCAAACCATGTGGAACTGACATTTCGACCACGAAAAGGCAAGGTCCCAGTGGCTTTTTGTTTGACGGCTCCGCAGATGGTCGTTCCATCAAGCCCATCAACTCCACACGTTACCTGCAAGTCAAAGCAAAGTATACAAGTTAGACATGAAGTCTCGCAAGCAGCCATCACACCAGACAGAAGAAACCTTTAAGATACGCTTTAAACCTCTTGCAGGTGTACCATGACCATATACTAGTAAAGCTCCATGCAGATTCCTGCATGCGGAATCAATCGGGTGTGGCATGCTTAGATGTTTGGCTTTAAAAAAAACAATTAAATAGCACAGAGCTTGACTGTTGGCCACAAGACATTTTGCAAATGTTGACAGAGCGACACAGGTTTCCTGTTTGGCCAGGTGCTGCGACTGTCATGGAGGCATGCACTGCTGGCAGAGATAGAGTTGCAACAACTTTGAATTGAGAGTCGCTGCTGCAGATCCTGGAAAGGACAAGGGCAACTGCACACAGCTTTAGATCATACTGACTTTTTCTATTTTGACGATGGTTTCCCAACAAGATGTGAGTCTGTGCAGTTGTCCAAGCGGTTTTCACCCGAGTCACGCCCAAGTCAAAGGCCGCCCCGACACCCCTCGCAGCGTGTTGCCTCGGACCCCCACGGCCCGGCGCGGTGCGTCCGTGCAGCATGGCAGCAAAGAAGCGCCGGCGACTCGGTCTGGACTTGGGGTTTCATCTCCAATGCCCCTGCTGCTACCGCCCGGGTGTGCCCTTTTGTGAGAACTGCGACCCTGAGAGCAGCGCTGAGCGCTTACAAGGCCTTCGAGCTTTGATGAAGGCACATCACTTAGATGCCTACTTCGTGACAAGTCAGGACGGGGTCATCCATGAGATTGGAGGAGTCCAAATCCATCAGAAATACCAGGAATTCGAGGCATGTGTTGTACCAGCTTTGTAGGTGGTCAAGACGCTGAAAACTCCGCCTACACTGTAGAGACACCAATGACCACATTTAATGAGCAGGGGACCTCCCAAACCACTCCGTAATATCGATGAGTAGGAGAGGGTAGGTTTTTTCTGGAATGAAGGTGAAAGGAGAGAATTGGAGGGTAATGTTGCTTTTTTAGCTTGGAACATGTTCATGTTTTTTTGTTTAGGTTTCCACTATAGAAGTATACATATGCATATATGCTTGCACCCAGAAAAGATGTCTTTTTTCGTGTCTCGACGGATAACAGAAAGACGCAGCAAGTTCGCAAAAAAAATACTTCGAGTGATCCCCACCATGACATTTCAAAACAACCACGTTGACATCACCGTCGTTGTGTATTTCGCAACCCAGGTGCTTGTCAGTCCAACATCTCAATTACGCTAAACTCTAAACAGTTTCCCTGTCCTGTCGCATAACTCAACCAAGCTATCACAACCACTCCAGAATAGACTTGTATTTTTACCGCAACCCACACATCTGCAGAGACACGTTCATGATGACTTTGTGTCTATCATGCGCTTCTCTGTGTGCTGTGATTCTGTTGTGATTGTGTTTATGGTTGTGTGTTTGTGGTTATGTGTTGTCGTTGTATTTGTCGCTGTGTTTGTGGTTGCGTTTGTGATTGTGTTTGTGGTTGTGATTGTGGTTGTTTTTGTCGTTGTGGCTGTAGTTGTGTTTGTGGTTCTGTGCTTGTCATATGTGTTTGTGATTGTGTTTATGGTTGTGTTTTTGTGGTTGTGTGTTGTGGTTGTGGTTGTGATTGTGTTTGTGATTATTTGTTTGTGATTGTGTTTGTGGTTGTGTTTGTAGTTGTGTTTGTGGTTGTTGTGTTTGTGGTTGTGTGTTTGTGGTTGTGTTTATAGTTGAGATTTGTTGTTGTGTTTGTGGTTGTGTGTTTGTTGTTGTGTTTGTGGTTGTGTGTTTGTGGTTGTCTGTTTGTGGTTGTGTGTTTGTGGTTGTGTGTTCGTGGTTGTGTTTGTGGTTATGTGATTGTGGTTGTGGTTGTGTGCTGTGGTTGAGGTCCGGCAGGGAACACTGGGCGTGGATGTTCGTGGTTGAGGTCCGGCGGAGGAGGACGACGTGGAGGAGGATGCGGAGGAGAAGGAGGAGGAGGACGAGGAGGAGATGGTGCTATCGTAAAATCTAACAACCCTCACCTGACAGGTGGGGGAAAAAAACACCAGACGCCAATAAAACAGAGCGGAAGTGACAAAAATCGACACCAACATTGCCACCCCAACAAAGATGTCCTTCGCGGGGTCTAAGTCATTAAAGTAATTATGCGTTTTGGGGAGTTGTTATTTTGCGTGGCGGTTAGATTATCAGTCACAATCATGTGCGCGTCTACAGTGTCGGGATCAAACAAACCTTGCAGGATGCGCATGCTTCAGAATATGTTTGCTCCGCAGACGAACGGAGAAGCTTTTTGACGGGATTCTCAGGCAGTGCAGGCAGCGCGCTGGTCACTGCTGAGAAAGCGCTCCTTTGGACAGACAGTCGTTATTTCCTGCAAGCTGAAAAGCAGCTGGCAGGAACCGAATGGGTGCTGATTCTCATCCTTGTTAGGCAGAAACTTTTTGACTTCTTGTGAAAAGATCATGTCATGTATCAGATTTCTAGAGTGTACTAGCATTAGCATTGCAAAAGTGTTGTGTCAGTGTTGTGTTGGTGTTAGTGTTGTGTCCCGCTGCGACAAGGATGCGTCAGTTGCAACCTGGCGTACCAGAGTTCTCTGACTGGGCCCTCGAGCACCTCAAGGGTAAATGTGTTGGAGTAGATCCTCGTTTCATTTCAGCAGAGACCTCAGAGGACTGGACATCAAAGTGGGGTTCATCTGTTCAGTTGAAGGAAATAGGCACCAACTTGGTGGATGCTATTTGGACAACTCGTCCAGAAGATCCTTGCAATGCTGTCCAAGTACATCCCTTGAACCTAGCGGGTGAGACAATCGAGAGCAAGCTGAAACGGCTACGAGAAGCAATCAGTGCCGAAGGAGCTAGTGTCATTTTACTTAGCGCATTGGATCAAATAGCATGGCTCTTCAATCTGAGAGGCTCAGACATTGAATACAATCCAGTGTTTTTTGCCTATGCCGCAGTGTTTCAAAACACCGCCATACTATTTCTTCGGTGCTTGGATGCAAGTGATGGCCTTCCGGATGAAGTGCTTGGCCACCTGAAAGGGGCTAGTGTAGAGGTAAGGCCTTACAAGCAATTCTTTACGGAGATTGCGAACTTACTGAAGCCAGAGGAGAAGGTTTTTCTGGAACCGTCATCCTCCTCCTTGGCCTTGATGGGTTTGGTCAGACATGACCTCAGAGTCACAGGGATTTCCCCAGTTGAAAAATTTAAGGCCTGCAAGAATTCAGTGGAAATTGAGGCTTTGAAGCAAGCATGTAAAAGAGACTCGCTGGCACTTTGCGAGCTTTTTGCCAGTTTGGAGGCAAAGTTGTCCCTTTCGGAAAGTGAGCAAGTGCCAATCACAGAAGTGGATGTTGACGAGATGATGAAAGACTGTCGCCGGAGGCAGCCCTCGTACGTGGCTGATAGTTTTCCAACCATCTCATCCGTTGGTTCCAACTCTGCAGTGGTGCACTACCAACCAGAAAGAGACAGTTGCAAGCGTCTTCTAGCAACAGAGATGTATTTGATCGATACGGGTGGACAATACAAGGACGGAACGACAGATGTCACGCGTACCATGCATTTTGGATGCCCCACAGAGGAGCAGAAACGCATCTACACCAGAGTCCTGCAAGGTCACATTGCATTGGCAAGTGCTGTGTTCCCAGAGGGCACCCCGGGGCTCTTGTTAGATGCCTTTGCTAGGGGGCCCCTGTGGAAGGATGGGTTGGAGTATGGCCATGGCACAGGGCATGGCATTGGAGCCTATCTAAATGTGCATGAAGGACCTGCGCAAATTGGTGGCGGCGCTGTCCCCGGAGACAAGATTCTGTGCAACGAGCGTCGGAGGAGGATCTTTTTGATGCCCATCCAAGCTGGATTCTTCCTCTCAGATGAGCCTGGTTGCTACAAAGATGGAGAGTTTGGGGTCCGGATTGAATCTGATATTTTGGCAACCCCAGCAGAAACTCCGTACAAGATGTCCACACGTCGCTTCTTGAAGTTTGAGTACTTGACATTGGTTCCGATGTGTCGAAAGCTGGTGGATGTGTCCTTATTGTCTGTGTCGGAGCAGCAGTGGATTGACAGCTATCACGCTCGTGTTTGGGAAGAGCTGAGAAGCTCTTTGCACAGTGAGGCGCAGAATTGGCTTTGGGAAGCGACTCGCCCGTTGAAGGCGTGAGAAGAGCCTGAGCGTGATCGGTCTGCCCAAAGTGGAGAAGAAAACACGCGACATGGTGCAGTTTACTTGCAATATCTTCCGGTCGTATGGGGGACATGGTGCTGCAATGTGCTCAAGAGTCTTTTAGGGCTTATTTAAGACTTGTAGAGCATATCAGAGCCGGCCGTTGCGACTCCGCTTGCACACTCATTACTATGAGCCAATGGCGCAGGCATTGCCAGCCTTTCGACGACTGTCCGAAGGCTTTCAAAGGTCCGGGGCCTAAGAAAGACCGATCGTCGTCTTCCAAAGACGTCCCCCCCGCTCTCTCAGATTAGCGGAATCTGGAGCCAGGCTCCCTTGCCCAAGTTCTCCTCGTTCCATGTTCTCGAGCCCCTACTAGCGTTCTTGCTCCGAGTAGTGAGACCAGGAGCCCCTAGTAGCGTCCTTGTTCCTAGTAATTAGCGATGCCCTTTGCTCCTAGTAGCGTCCTTTACCCCCCTCCCTAACGATTGTTGTGAATCGAACGCCGGCAAATATGGATCCAGGTGTTGATCGCAGTCGCCGTAGAACCCTGGAGCCAGGCTGTATGGAGAACCGGATTTTTGTGGGAGTTTGTTTCCAGTCGTTTGTGTGACTTTTCTCAGTATAGTATATAGTATTGCTTTTGCTTCGGTTGTTGCTTTTGCTTCTGCTTTTGCTTTGGCTTTTGCTTTCGCTTCTGGATTTTTGTTTGCTTTTGCTATACGTTTTGTGAGCCATCCGAGGGTTAAACTTTAAGGAGGAAGGAGCCGGGGCCATTCCAA